GCAGCAGCAGCAGCAGCAGGTGAGCACTAGCTGATGCCCCTTCTAACCCATAACCCTAATCCAGGAGTAATATGTCAATGTATTAGTGGTTGCTTTGTGAGATGAGGGCTTTCAAGTGTTCACGGAAGCAGGGATTGTTTTAAGGTTACAGTCATGAAAAGCAGTGAGCCTTGTGAAGGGTGTTTACCTAGTTGTCTTTGATTGGATTGTCCATTGTTAATTCTTGTAAGGGGTTTTCAGAGCTAATGCTAATTTGGTTATCTCATAAAAGAACAGGAACTGTTAAAGAGTTTTAGCACAGCATCACTGAAGACATTTTGACACGCCACAGTAGAAAAAGCACAGGTGTAGTTATTGGGGTTTGGTACTATTCACACGTTTTTTTTTCCCCGTACTTTATGCTCTCTCTCTTTCTCACTATACTTCAATTTACTCTCCCAGTTTCTGAAATCTCTTGACTTTGGTAACTCTGCAACTCAGCGCTACTTTAGCTACATTTTATTAGTAAATTCCTTACAAGTGTATTTTCGTTGTATACATTATACAGGAAGTATACAAGATGCAGCACTGGCAGCAGTCAGGTCACCCTCCCCCGTCTGGCTCAAGCCACGCCCAGCGGGGCTACTATCCACCACATGTCCTTGGGTTTGATCCCCGCTGGATGATGATGCCTCCTTTCATGGATCCCCGCATGGCCCAAGGACGATCTCCTGTAGACTACTACCCCAGTGCTGTCCACTCTTCAGGTGAGCACTAATCCAATGACCTTCGTATCTGAATTCAAACTGTTTCTGTACATTACTATCATTGGAAAACACAGTGTAAACACAGCAATTTGATTATTTTCAGCTGGTATGATGAAACCCATGATGCATCAAGACCACTTGAACAGCCCTGGTTCCGATGAGGGATGCCATCCCAACCTGCACCAGGAGAGAAGAGCCCCTTCCACTGAGCCTTACCCTATGTGGAACCAAGATGGCTACCCCTTGCGTAGCTTCACTCCACCCTACCAGAGGCAGCATGAAAGCTCGGACAGTGGCCAGCAAGATGACAGGTTGGTTGTTGTGTTTAAAAAATGTTAGACCCTGTGAATTTCACCGCTCTTAAATTAAGGTATTCTCTTGTACTTGGATTCAAATCCCTGGAACTTGCCTCACAAAGAAGTATTACGAAATTAAATCCTGCAGGATTTTTTTCAGTAATGGCCCCTTTGGTGTCTGTTTTTGTCATTCATCATTTTGGCACCTTTTTTTTCCCCTGCAGAAGTGATGTGGCCTGCTCCCAACAGGACTCCTATGAAGAGAGGGCCAATGACTGCTTGACCCATCCCCAAGATGATCTCCCCCATCATGCTTACCAGAGCCGAGGCCCAGACAGGGAACATCAACACCATGACCAAGGCTTGCTGACTACTGCTCAGAATCATGCAGATAATGATTACCCAAAACAAGACTCTAGGGACAAGCATCTGAAAGACAGCCCTGAATCTCACAATGAGACCTTAGATAGTTCCAAGGACAATTGGAAAAGAGATGGAGGTCAGAAACAAGATGGAGGAGTCAACAGCGCTCAAAGTCAGTGGTCTGAACCCAGTTCTAGTTCCAGTAGTAGTGTCAGCCAGCCATCTGAGACCAGTGGGCGCACCTTGATTCGCAGAACAGGGCCCATCAAGAAACCAGTTCTCAAGGCTCTCAAAGTGGAAGACAAGGAGAATGAAAAGCCTAAACCTGAGCCTGAGGAAAAGACCGTCCCTTACCGCCTGGAGAAAGAAGTCCTTACTAATGTTTACGACTTGAAGAAAGATAACCAGCCTGCCAGCAACAGGCGTTCAGCCTCACCTGTTGTTGAAAAACAGCCGGAAGAGAGGCAGCGTCAGTCACCAGCTCCCACTAAACCAGAGAGACCTCTGAGCACCCACAGTGATGACTCTCCCAAGGAGAGCACCTGGGACATTTGCAAGAGCCAGCCACCTCGAGAAAGCCAGGAAAACCGGGAGCCCCACGCACCACGGCGCAATAACTGGATCTTCATTGATGAAGAACAGGCCTTTGGTGCAGTCAGGGGAACAGGTAGAGGCCGCAGTCGAGGCTTTAGGGAATTTGGCTCTAGAGGTGGAACCCGGGGTGGCCGAGGTGGAGACAATCTCAGAGGGGCTTATAACAACAACAACAACAGTGGTGCTCAGCGCAGAGGCCGGGCACCACCTAGGGATCTTGTCAAGGTTGAAGAGTTCCAGCGGGGCAAACCCCGGAGGCGAAATGTCAGTGAGACTTTGAGTGAAGCCTCTGAGTATGAGGAACTGCCCAAGAGGCGCCGCCAGAAGGGATCTGAAAATGGAGAAGGTTACACAGAGTCTGGAGAGGTTCGTAAAGCTGATAGAGACTCTTGGAGATCCAACAAGGTGTACACAGATGACCAGACAGCCCCAGATTCCAGAGAAAAGGCCAAGGCCAGCAGAGGCTTCGGAGGTCGCATACTGCCTCCCAGACTCAACACCACTGGAAGTTACAGTCGAAGCTTTGGGGGAACCAGGGACATTTCTACATGGAGAGGTCGTGGGCCACAGTTTAATAGCAGTGGTGGCTCCATGCAAGAAAATGGTTATGGTCCTGGAGCTGAGACTGCTTACACCCGCAGACCCCCTGTTGAACGTGAGACTCTCAAGTACCCTCCCAAATTCACTGGCCCATTCATGGAAAATGGCACAGAGGACCGTGAAGGAGAATACTACTTTGACAATGACAACCCTGACCGGCAGATGTTGAGGAGACGGCGTCCACCCCGTCAAGACAAGCCCCCACGCTTCCGACGTCTACAACAAGAACGTGAACCTGGCTCCAACCAGTGGACAAGCGAGGAGTACGTAAATGGAGACTTCGCAAACCCCTGGCCTGGACGCCCCAAAGGGACTGGGGAAGAGAACTGGCCCAGTGGCCACTACTCTGGTGGACGTTCTAGCCAACATGGTCAGGCAGAGGAATGGGAGACGGGATCGGACAACAGCGACTTTGGTGACTGGAGAGAGAAGCGAGGTGGAAGCGGAGGTGCGGCTACACAGGGACAAGGTGATATTCCCTCAGACTCTGGCCACGGCGAACCAGGCTCTGGCGAGAAGAGGGAACTTTGCAAGAGAAGCTTCTCCAGCCAGAGACCATTGGTGGAACGGCAGAACAGAAAAGGAGAGCCATCTCTGCTAGAAGCAAACAAGATGTCACGTACACCTGATAATCCCCCCACCTCCTCCTCTAACAGGAGTGACAGTTGGCAGAATGGAGGGACGTCTTGTAAGAGGTGAAGTGAATAATAGAACAAACTTTAATTTGAAGTAATTGTAGGCTATACTGTCCTTTACCCATATGTATTGCTAGTGGGAATGAAGCATCCTCAATATGTACTTGGGAATTATATTAATGCTCTAGTGTCTTGTTTCAGGTCTGGTTGTTCTAGTTGAAACCAACAACACAGTGTATCTTTTGTTTTGACTTAAATATACTGACACTCATGGTGACAGGAATAAACGCCAATTTTTCGCTCACCTTTTATTTGAAAAAGCAAACAATTCTCCATTTCAAATGTATGTTGTTGCTTACTCTATATATAGAGAAACTAATTGTTCAGCGAGATACGTAGCTTTAATTTTAGCAGCAGTGATTGTATTGCCGGTTGTTCTAATGTAGTTAAATTATAGATCGCTTATGTGTCTGTTGTTAATCTGTACCAACTGTTAGCTTTTGTGTGTAATTTTCCCAAGTTGGATGAGGCTAATGCAGTTCAGCTGGGAATTTGAAACCAAAATTCATCCGACTTTCACTAGCTCATAGTTTGTTCTTTGAATGCTCATCTATTCTGCTCCATTTCTTTTAAGGAACAATTTATTATTTATTCCCCTGTGATTTAACAAATTCTGCACTAGTACTGAGCACTTCTCACCATGAAGTCTTTCCCAGATGAAGATGTATCTCATTTCCATTGGCTATATGAATGTGGGAACAGTGCCTGTGCCCTGACTGGAGCTTTGGCTTATTGAGCAACACAACTAGATTTTTCACAGCATCCTCCCAGTGCCTGAATTAAGAGTCATACTGTGTCGTTTTTTTATTCCACTTGCCATCAAGCTTTGCTGAACTTAATTGGCTTAACGGAAAAATATGTTTGAGATAGATAAGACTGCCAGAAGTTTTGGGTATCTTGCAACTGTTTGATTGTTTTTATGTTGATGTTTTAGCAGAGCTAAGAATACCCAATTAAAACCTACTTGTCTCTCCCCTTCCTGTTTTTCAGCCCCGTCTACAGCATAGAGCAGCCGGAGGAAAGGGAGCCCAATGAGCCCTCTGGGAAGAAATTAGACAAAGAGCTGAAGCAAGGACCTGTCAAGACAGACATAGCTGAACCTCTGTCCCAGTATGAGCTCAGCAGCTACCCAAGTGAGTCCAATTTATTTAAATTTATCTCTGGACATTTGGTGCTTCTACATTTGTACATTTTTAGGATAGGTACTGATTACTGATGTATGCTGCGGTACTGACTCGCAAGATTTCAAAGAGACATAAAAATAATGTTAAGTACTGCAGTTCCACCTCATCTACTGTTAATTTTGCATTGACCATATGCTTGTTTTGTAGTTGAAGGGGATGCAGGGGGACCAGTTTCGAATCCAGATGGATACCAGGATGCCTTGTCCAAAAAGCAAAGACGCCCACAGGAAGATGATAGAAGGAGGAAGGAACAGGGAGCTGCAGTAAGTTAACATATGCTCAATCCAGATGCTCAGCAATCATGCCAAGATTTAACAAAGTGTGTATTCTAAGCGTTTCTCATTGTTGCCTGTATTAGATGCCAGTGAAGAACAGAACTATCACATCCAAGATACCACCACGCTTTGCCAAAAAGCAGGGAACCATGAGCATTGAACAACCTGAGGAATCGCTTTCTTCCAACAACCTGGGAACTGAAATCTGGGAGACCAACAGCTCAGGTAGGTGACAGACCCAACTTTGTGTCAAGGCTTTTGTTCCTGCTATAAATCAGAAACCTCAGATACTAGATTATACAGGATAGCTCAAATATTAAACTGAGAAAGTTCACAACGACATTTCTTAACCTTTTTATTTTTTAATGTTAGGGATGTAACTGTGGTAGGCTTAATATATACTAAATATAAATGGTTTAGGACATTAAAACAGCCAGAAGGAAGAGCTGTTTGGAAGGAATTATTTAAAATGTGCGAGTATGTCTGTCAATTTGAAGTTAAATTAATTGAAACTTTAAAAAAAAATTCTAAATGGTTTTAGACATTTTAGTGAATAGAAGTCAAATTACATTCTTTACTAATAAAATTAATTTATCTTTTTAGCTCTTTCAGTACAGTCTTCAGGGGGAGACTCGTGGACTAAACAAGTGTCTTACACTGGGAGCGAGCCCAACTCTGAGGTAGGACAATGCATTTGCACATTAAAACCTCCGCTGCATACATTTTGTGTCTGCAGGAAAAAAATAATCATTTTTCTTGTCTGCCACCTTAAGATACAAATTGGCTGCAACATTATCTCATTACTTTGAGTAACAAATGAATGCCTTTTTATTCTTCTTGGCCAGGACTCTGATGCTGGTCCAGAGCAGAGTAAAGAACAGCACAAACCAGGGCCCATCGGAAACGAGCGCTCCCTAAAGCACCGTAAGGGCTCAGAAGGTGTCGATAGGCTGGAAGGTGGCCCCATCACACCAGTCAATGGTGTGGACCTCCATGTGGATGCTGTGCTGCCTGTGCCTCCTATTGAGTTTGGTGTCAGTGCCAAAGACTCTGATTTCAGCCTACCACCGGGCTCTACCCCCGTGCCGGTGTCCAATCCTGTCAACAAGCTTCAAGACGCGCTTACCACCAATGTGAGTGATTTCTATCCGTATTTTTAAGGTGTCTTGTAAATACAAAAAAAAGCACTGGTAATCCAAATGCATCCGAGATTGGCGTGACACTCAATGTGAAGTTAGTAGTGAAAGGCTTCATGTTTTAGTGCAACTGATAGATCCTGAACTTTTCTTGTTTTTAAACAGACTGCTCTCAATCAGAGTATCCCCATGCTGCGTTCCAACCATCTGCAGCCTGGCATTAACCTCAACCCCATCTCCTTCCCCAGTGCTGACCTCACTCTCAAGGTACTTGAATTAGAATCCCACGCAGCAGATATGGAATAATCTGTCTGTTGGGGGAAAAATATAATGGGAACATTAAGGAAAAACTGACTTTAATTCATACATGCGTATCAACTTAAAATGATTCTATTTCAGATGGAATCGGCTCGCAAGGCGTGGGAAAACTCCCAGTCCCTCCCCGAGCAGGGCTCTCCTGGTGGAGGTGCTTCAGGTGCTCAGCCTCCCTGCAGCGTTGGCTCATCCGTCAGCTACAGTTCTTTTGGAGGGGTTTCCATGCCTCCGATGCCTGTGGCTTCAGTAGCACCTTCCATGTCCATGCAAGGTAAAACTGCATTTCATTTCTGTTTGACGAGCGCTTAATCTTTGAGGAGAACTAAACTAAAAGTCTGTTGTTTCCTGTCCCCTCTGCAGGTAATCATATTCCCCCATTGTATCTGGATGGCCATGTCTTTCCGAGCCAGCCACGCCTCGTACCCCCCACGATGACCCAGCAGCAGACCTACCAACAGGTAAAAAGATAAACACATACCTAAACACACAGATAGGCTTGTGTATCAGCAGAAAAGTCATTATGTTAGATCTGCTCATCCATACAGGCGGCTGCTGCCCAGCAGATTCCCATCTCTTTGCACACGTCTCTTCAGGCTCAGGCTCAGCTGGGACTTCGGGGAGGTCTACCCGTATCCCAGTCCCAAGAGATGTTCAACTCTATTCCTCCCTTCAGGTACTGCCACCTCACTTTCTTTATGCATTTCCACTGGTCCAAACTTGTTTCATGTATGTGGCATCACCATGTAGTTTCCCTTTCACTCATTGTGCTCCCCTACTTTGTCTTCCTCCTTTCAGGTCCCAGGTTTACATGCACCCCAACCTCTCACAGGGTAGCCCCATGGTGCTGTCGGGTGGAGCCCCTCTTAAGGGGCCTTACTCTGCTTTCCCTGGCATGCAGCCCTCAGACATGGTCAAGCAACAGTCAGGCTCCCACTATCAGCCTATGAACGGCAGCCAGCAGCTAGTCTATGACAACCAGATGAACCAGGGGCCTGGTATGGGTTCATCCCAGTTAATTGACTCTCAGCTCATCCAGGTGAGTCGATTTTCAACACCTCGAGGTACTCTTGATGCTCGTCAGATTTCCGAGGGATTTATTAAATTAATACATAGCTTTCATGTTTGCCCAAATAGCAAGTAAAAGCCTTCACAGCATGATCATTGGAGTTTTGCCTTAAATGAAAGCAGCATTTACAATACAATCCTTGTTTTCACCAGGTGACCATGCCCCTCCCTGGCTCTCAGCTGCGCTATGGTTCAGCTCAGCAACATCTCATCCTCCCACAGTCCATCCAGCTGCAGCAGGGACAGAACTTGTCAGTCGGTGCCCCCCGTCGAATGCTGCCACCTGGCTCCCAGGCTGCTGTCATGACTGGCAGCCGAGAGGTATGACTTTCTGATCTTATGTTGCTCAAACAGAAATTGTTCAGAGGGCATTAAAATCAATTTGAGCACATAACAATGTGGACAAATTTATATAATGCCACACGCCTTTTATCTATAAATAAGTAGCCATAAACGGTTGATTGTGTATTGACAATGCAAGTTTCTTGTCTTATTCTCAGGGCTCGCAGATGGAAATGAAAGGCTTCCAGTTCTCTGACAAGCCCAATCATTCCCCAGGCCTATCTGGAGGGTCCTACAGGTGAGTGGAAATGACTTGTGCAAATAATAAAGTAAACCTGCTGGAACAGTCCATATGCAGCTTTGCTCTGTCAAGTGAGATATGATGCGTCACAAATGCACTTTTAAGGAAATGGATTGTAAAACTATCTTCTTTCTCCCCTCTCCTCATCAGGCCCGGGTCTGCCAGCCCTAGTGGGAAGCCCTCTGGTCCTGGGGGGCCCGTAGGCCCTCTGCCTACACATTTTACTCAACAGGTATTTGTTTTTTAAAATGTATATATGAGATATGTTTACTTTAACCATTAAACAGGGCATTGTAATTCTTGGGCTATTGGAAGAGTGGGAGAGGTTTTTCAACAGCTAAGGGTTCTGAGTGTGGTACGTTTACTAAATTCAAAGTGCTCTTATGTCCATCTCAGGCTTTATGTTTAAGAATTAAACTAGAATTACATGATTGGTTAAACACATTCACATCATTATCTACAAAATGTATTTTACACTTGCACACAGAAACAACCCTGTCTCTTTTTTTGGATCAAGTCTGAAAATGTCCTAAAAAGTTCAATACTGGCATTCTAATTATGTGTTCATTTATTTCCCACCCCCTCATCTACTCTTCCCCCCCCCCCACTCTCCATCCTCCTCCCCCCCGTGACCAACAGGTCCCACCTGCTCAGGGTAGCATGGTGATGCACATGCGGCCCCCCACCACAGGCCCTTTCCCCAATCCCATCCAGAGACCAGTCATGCAGGTCAACAAGCCTGTCATCATCCGCTCCCCCCCTTACCCCAATCCTGGCCGTGACCCTACCCACTCCACCCACTCCACCCCTCCCTCTGCCCCCGAGCCCCCTGTCAAAGGGCCAGAGGATGGCATGAAGGTGAGCCACCCACTGTAAATATAGGTAATTTAATTTAATCCATTTTCCTTTTCTCTTTCTGCATTACTTGTTGTGTGTGTGATTTTGACTTCAAGTATACAGTTCTAGTTATCATATGAGACGTTTTGTAGGATTTACTTTTAGTGCTGTAAGACTTATCTGGGATAGTATAATTCTATACTGTTAATGGTAATATTTATGATGTGTGTGTATTGACTGAACTGTACTATGAAAACACAAACCTAATTACCTAAATTATTAGTTGGAGCATTCTTTTCCTCAAGCTAACCGTAATAACTTCTGTGTTCCTAAATGTGATCAAAATGAATAAACCTTCACATATTTTGGATAGTTTAAAGCTGATAACCAATTTAATGTGACTGACCATTTTCTAATCATAAAAAATTTGCTGTTACATTCAGGCTTATCTTTATTTGTGGCATTTTATATTAAACTAGGTAGTATTGTGTTACGGATAGCTGACGATCTTTCCTGCGTGTTATAAAACTGAACCAACAACTAACTGCCAACACTGCCTCGGTGGAAAAAAACAGTTTGAACCCTCAGAAACTAACACACTCAGACTTTTGTTAAATGATAGCTGAGCTTCAGCCTTGGACTATCCAAACCAGTGTTAATGCATGAATGTATAGTTTGCCAGGCGCTGCTGTAGGCCTCGGTAACGCTGCCTCTTCTTTGTGCAGAATAAAACCATGCGAGAAGTTCGCAAGGCAGTGGGCGAGGGCAAGACACCATCCGGGGGCATGACCAGCAAACTCCAGGAGCCCCTACCCTCCACAGGGCAAGCCAAACCAGCACGCACTGGAGCCATCAAACCCCAGGCTGTCAAAGTAGAGGAGGGCAAGGCATAACAATGGACCTTAAAATCCTCATCACCACCCAGCCTGCCAACACAAGCCCCTTGACCAATGTCTGAGCCACCTTATCGCAAGGCACCAAGGCAAGGGGGCGTACATCCAGACATCATAGTGAATTACTCCTCTTGAACTGTCAGAACTGGACATTATTATTTCACAACACGTATAGAGATATATAAATATATATAAATATATACATAGACACAAACAGTCTTTTAAGCAGATCTCTTCAAGGTCCTCTTTAATTTATTATTAGTCACTTTTAAGGGGAGATTGGTAAAGAGAAAAGATATTTCTGTTTTTTTTCTTTTTTTCTTTTGTGTATCTCTCCAAGGTGGGGGAAATTTAAAGTGGCCAACTCAGACAGATGGTTCATTTTTCATACCATTTTGCCAAACTGTATTTACTCCCTGTTTATGGACTGTAGCCCTTAAGACCAAGCAGACGCTCGATATAACTCACTATGAGAAGCAAAGTCTGTTCTTTTTTTTTTTTTTAAACAAATTTAAAAAGCAGTGGGGCGCTTTTCTGTCATACTTCATTGGCATTTTTCTGGTAAATAAAACGTTCAAGTCATCACCCGTTCCTCCTCTTGGTAAAGGACTTCTTTTATTAATCGAGAAAAAAAATCTCAGTTTTTGTGGACTCCATTGCATGTCAACATGGCAAAAGTCAAGTGCATCACCCTAGAAATGCATCTTCTGGGGTACTTCACCCAGCCCATGAACTGTGGTGTAAACTGCTTAGATTGGTAGAAATGATTTCTTTTCTTAAAAACTCTGTTCTTTGCTTTTACATTCTGTCACTCGCTTTCTTCTGTATGTAAATTGAAACATAAAGGTGGACATTTTATCAAAATCATGTTGCTTCCATGGGAACTTCACTGGCGTTGATACAGCGTGTGCATGTTGATCTGCTGAACGTGTGTAAACCTGCAGGACTCCTGCCTAGAAACCTAGCAACATTTCACAAAAGACTGTACCTGAACTCAGCATTCATAGTGCTGCCATCGCCTGTGGATTTTTATCAACCAAGCTGGCAACAATTTTTTGGGCTCATTGTGAAGCTATATGTGGGGGAGAGGGAGAGGGGGAGGGGTTGCATTCACAATTGCTGTAGAGGACCCCACAAAATAGCCGAATGAAATGTTTGCTTTCTTATCGCTTTGTTTGGGTTGTAATTAATCAAATTGTCTGTTAATGAACGTGATGTAAGTGATTTTTACGTCCCTCAGCCTGGGGCGTTTTTGTTTTTTTTTGCTTTTTTCTTTTGAGGCTTTTGAAAGACTTTTCTCTCTAATTCCGTTAAAATCCCACTTTAACAGTACTATGGGGAATTCGGAAGAAACGGACTCATCCCCATTTGATAATTCAGCATCTGGTCTCTGAGGTGGCACGAGCAATAACTGCAGCCTAACTATAATTACAATCAGGGTCCAAATAACTATTTTCTGTTTAGAAGCTAATGATCACAAACAAGGGGCGTTTAGCATTGCTTGTTGAATTTAAAATATGCTCTTTGCTTAAGCTTTTTTTTTTTTTTGTGAGCACTGCAGCTCCAGTGGACGACGAAGGACTTTTTAAAAAGTGTATGTTCTATTTGAAAATGTGAAGCTGTTGGAATCCTCATTTATTTTGTTTTTTGTAATGGACACTCATTTTTAAACTCACAATGCCAATGTCCTAACTGGTTAAATGTTACTGCTTACCATAACGCTCCATGACACTACAAAATGTTACAATTTATCTCTATGACAGTGTTTCACTGGTATATATGTATATGCATACTTAACTGTACAGTCAAGCCTTGTCAGCGAGGGGAGGCTTAAACCACATTTCATTTTAGATATTGTGGCACTATAAAGGATTTAATGTTGAAAAGGTCACTGTGTTCTGGGAATGGACTGCTTTCACTTGTTGATAGGTTTATCGGGCTTGGAGTGTTTTGCCTCTCGTCCCTTACTGCAAAAGATCTTGATGCTTCTCATCATTGTACCTGCACCAAAATGTTGCCCTGACTTTTTTTGTACTTTTAAGATGCATATTTCATTTTTTGTCAGAGGACCAGTGCTTTCTACAGCTGATCCGGCATTCTATTTATCCTACCTGATCTTTATCCTTTCAGATATTTGGTCATTATTCTCCCTTGTTAAAAAAAGAAAAAAAGAGCTTCTTGAAAGAAAAGAAATAAAGCAGTTGTGATTTCTTAAATGTACTGTTGATTCTGTATTCTCACTTTGTCATATTAAAATCATGCATCAAATTCTTGTGAAAGGAGAAATTATGGGGAAATGATTTTAGGCTGTGTCCTGCACAATTTCTGAAAAAACACCGACCATATGTTGTCTGCGTTAAAAAAAAAAAAAAAAAGCATTCCGGCACCTGAGCATTGCCAGTTCAATGTCATCTGTTGAACAGAAATATTTGGTTTGTATGTTTTCTTAATAGAACATTCAGTTTCTTTGTCAATCCTGTCCACCAAAACGGGTAAAAATAAATATTTGAATCCAAGACAACTCAGGTTTTTGCAGTTTAAAGGGCCTTAGTGGTTCCCAACTGAGGGCCAGGACCCCCCAATGAGTCCCAAGATATAAGGG